ATATCAATGTAAATTATTTGTTCTCTATGTAGTGGCTGATATAGGTTATTTTTATCTATAATGTTGTATAATAAATTATTTTTCCTTATAGGAACTAAAATATTTTTGTCAATAGAAATATTTTGCATTAACAACAAATATAACTTCATGAACTACCTCTACATATTATCACTACACATGGTGATTATTTTATGCTTTATTGTAGTCCATGTATAATGATATACTTAATCCATGATAATTTTATGTTTATCCTTTTGTATGATGTAAATTAAATAGTAAATAGTAGTTCATGCAGGGAAAGAACATATCAATATTCGCATATTCATGCAAAGAAATGAAAATTCTTAATGGAGTACCCTTATTTCTTATTGAATTCCTAAAAAACAACATTTATAATGAATTTTAATAATTTTTTCGGATTTTTTTTTAAAGTTTAATCTAACCGATTCAGCCGATTCCCGATCCGGATCGCCGATTCATCAATCCGGATGGGTTTTTGATATGCCCGATCCGAGTCACCGATCCACTTTTTAAACCACATGATCAAACTATATCTTCTTATATTCAGATAATCGCTCCCAAAAAATTCAAGTTGTAGTTGAATTTTGTGGGATCCAATTCTAGCTTCAAAATGTATTGTCTCTCTCGCATCCACTCATAACCATCTTTTTTTCTCTCTCCATCTCCCATCTTGAGTCACTCTCGCATCCACTCATTACCATCTTTTTTTCTCTCTCCGTCTCCGGTCGAGCCCCTTTGCTATCATTCAACTGAAACCCTCCATCTCTATCTAATCAAAGAACTCTCTCCCGATCTCCTTTCGGACATAGGCCTCTCATTGTCAACAGAGACCCAATCCTCTCTTTCTCAACAAATGCCATCCACTTGTTTCGTAGCAGACCAAACACTACATGTTCTTTTTCCTCCTACAAATATTCTTTCTCCTCCTACAAAAATCCTTATTTCCACTACCTCCTTCCACTCCTTTCTCACTACAAGAAAACCCTGCAGCCGGTTTAAATCATGAAGATGGACGCGTCACAATTGTGGCAATTCCACACCACTACATTATTGTAAATAATGGGAATTCAAGGAATTATAATGGAATTTAATAGTAATGGCCATTTTTTAAACTTGTCTGGAACTATATAGTACTCTGTTGCCTTTTCCATACTAGCAGCATATCCTCTTCCACATACCTTTGTTTCTCAATCAATTTTACCAAAACACAAACCAAATCAAGCGCCTCCTTCTTCTCCTTGAGCTGTCGAACCTTGGCTTTGGCCTCGCAGGCCAAGGTTTCGATCTCTGCAACCAAGGATGGATCAAAATCATAGGACCGAATCAAGGTTTCAAGCTCTGAAGACCTGGAGGAGGCATTGGTGGTCTGTGAAAAAACGACAAAGAAATGTTGATGATGGTCGAGGAAGTAGCGATGGACACTACAACTTATGCCATGAGAGAGAGAG